CCAACCTAAGAGCAATGGCGGCAATGGCCTCCAACCTAATAGCAATGTTCTCCAACCTAATAGCCATTGCCTTCAACCTAATAATAGCAGTGGCCTCTCAACCTAATAGCAGTAGCCTCCAACCTGAGAGCAATGGCGGCACTTGCCTCCAACCTAATAGCAGTGGCCTCCCAACCTAATAGCAGTGGCCTCCCAACCCAATAGCAGTGGCCTCAACCTAAGAGCAAAGGCGGCAATGTTCCCCAACCTAATAGCAATGTTCTCCAACCCCAATAGCCACTGCCTTCAACCTACTAGCAATGGCCTCAACCTAATAGCGATGGCCTTCAACCTAATAGCGATGGCCCCCAACCTAATACTAGTAGCGATGGCCTCCAACCTAATAGCGATGGCCTCCAACCTAACAGTGATGGCCTCCAACCTAATAGCGATGGCTCCAAGGTAAAAGAGATGGCATCCAACCTAATAGCGCTGGCCTCCCGCCTAATAGCGATGGCCTCCAGCCTAATAGCGATGGCTCCAAGCTAAAAGCGATGGCCTCCAACCTAAAAGCGATGGCCTCCAGTCTAATAGCGATGGCCTCCAGCCTAAAAGCGATGGCTCCAAGCTAAAAGCGATGGCCTCCAACCTAATACCGCTGGCCTCCAACCCAATAGCGATGGCCTGCAACCTAATAGCGATGGCCTTCAACCTAATAGCGATGGCCTCTAGCCTAATAGCGATGGCCTCCAGCCTAGTAGCGATGGCCTCCAACCTACTAGCGATGGCCTCAAACCTAATAGTGGTTGCCTCCAACCCAATAGCGATGGCGCCAAGCCAAAAGCGATGGCCTCCAGCCAGCGATGGCTCCAAGCCAAAAGCATGGCCTCCAACCCAAAAGCGATGGCCTCCAGCCTAATAGCGATGGCCTCTAGCCTAATAGCGATGGCCTCAAGCCTAATAGCGATGGCCTTCAACCTACTAGCGATGGCCTCCAACCTAATAGTGGTTGCCTCCAACTCAATAGCGATGGCTCCAAGCTAAAAGCGATGGCCTTCAACCTAATTGCGATGGCCTGCAACCTAATAGCGATGGCCTCCAGCCCAATAGCGATGGCTCCAAGCTAAAAGCATGGCCTCCAACCTAATAGCGGTGGCCTCTAGCCTAATAGCGATGGCCTCCAGCCTAATAGCGATGGCTCCAAGCTAAAAGCGATGGCCTCCAACCTCCTCCAACCTAATAGCGATGGCCTCCAACCTAATAGCGATGGCCTCCCTTAAGAAGAGGAACCAAGGTCCTCAGGTCCAGGGAGAAACGCAAAGAAGAGGACTCTGCCCGCAATACCTACCGCCCTGCTTTGCAGCCAGCCTGGTTGAAACATGACCGCCAAGTACTCCGGCGGCTTGGATGAACCAGTTCCGGTTGTGTTGTATTGTTGTTTCTTCTATATTGAGACCTTTAGACACATTCTTGAACCATCAAAAGACCTTTCTTGCTTTCTGTGGCTCAGCATTTCTTTCAGAACATTTTGCAGAGCAATGATTTCATGTGGATCACCTCGCAGCCGAGGTTCTATGCATACTTCCAGGACTGGGCACAAGTTGACAAGCACTCAAAGCGCTCATGTCTCGTGGCAAAGACTTTGGGAGAAAACATGAGATGCACCGAGATGAAAGAACTGGGCACAGGAAGCAGTTCACGAGAACCCGAAGGACACTGCAGACGAGTGTCGTCTTGCAGAAAGGTTTCCCGAAGCTGAAACTGTTGCCGGCATGTCCGTAAAGCTTGCCTGAGGAGAGCTTCAGGATTCGAGGTTGCAATATTCTCTTCTACTTGGAGCCCCAGCATTGTGAGTTTCAATTGTCTCGTTCAGGCTGTGCTGTCCTCCAAGATTTGTCTTGAACGAGATTTGCCAAACTTAGATCTGACCAGTAAGGAAGATGGGACAATGATGGTTTCTGTGTCCTGGCTCCAGGGAGCAGACGACCGTACCCAGTCTTGACACGCAACACCAGCCCCATCGACACATCCACAAGCTGAACTCTGAACTTCTAATCCGTCTTCAACCTGCAAACATGTGAAGGGTACTGCTTTTATGACTGTTGCCAGATTGAAGCACATGTGAGCATTGTCCATGATCTTAGAGACTATCATAGGGTCATAGGGAGCACGAGGTCTGCATGAAATGATCTAGTACAGTCTGATTCCTACTCCGTGTTCCAGACTGCAGTTGTACCGTTTTGAGATCCGTTTGTTCTTCACTCAGGAGCCCAAGATCGAGAATTCTGGTATGACGCAGGGGACCTTCGTAAAGCGGCACCGCATCCCGCGGCCAAGTAGCCTGGGCGGCTCCTTACTTAGCAAAGGGGTCCAAAGAGTCTTTCTAGGCCTTATACCATCATCGTGATATGCGGTCGAGATGCCTTGCTTAGGGGGTGTCTACGGCTTTGAAGACCTCAGAGTCGGCAAATCTATTGCCATCTATTCCAGACTATTTCGTCTCATCGGCGCAGATGCATACACTCGAGACTTCTACGAGGCCAACAGTCCTAGAAATGGTTGATGGGTTGGAATGCCATTTGTGTTGGAAGTGCTGAGACGCCAGGCAGCTATGGGAGAGACTATGGTGGAAGATCAGGATCGTGAATCGTGATCATGTAGTTTTACTCGCTTGTAGAATTGATGGCACAACAAGCTAGAAAAGTGAATGCAACTGCAACCTAACAACAATTAATTACAGATACTGTATACATATATTGATGCATAGGGTGTTCATCTGAATTGGGTTGGAAGGTGATTCCGCAGAAGTGGAGAGTTTCGACTTCAGGAGCTCCCGATGGATACTTTCAGAGCTGCTGATCTTCCTGACCCGGAAGACTTGGTCTCAGCCAGGCACGCGAGTTTTGCATGGCGAGTGACATGGGCTCACAGCCAGCCAGGCGTGCAGTGCTCCAGGAGGCCAAAGTCCGGATCTTAGGACATACATCGCTCCGGCATGTGGCACAATGAACAGAACATGCCTTAAAACTCTGCCTTTGTTGCCTTTGTAAAGTTCATGCACGGAGAAACGCAGCTGGGAAGTTGGCCACCAGCCCGACCAGCCGCGCTCCTTTTGGGCTTGATCATACAAGATCTAAGGAGTACAATGAGATAGCAGTGGGAGGCTGCTGCAGGAACGAAAAGCTGCAACAGTATTTGGAGAATGACCGCAAGGTGCTGCGCTTTCACACCTTCTGGGATGAAAGTGGCAAGTATGGTTCCAGAAAGCTCCTTGGCACATCACTTGCTGCACGGACACAGTAGTACTGCTAGCGCCACAAACTATGTAATCCATCAGATTGATTTACCAGCATCCATATCTGTGAACAATCTCCACAATCTGCATGTTTCGTGCTTTCAGCATCGTTTGTCCAAGCTTGCTGTTTTCTTTTTCGCATGGCCAGTGTGCACCAGGTCTTTCCAGTGTCTAACCGTAACCAGGCATGCCAGACATGCCTTGGTACAACTCGCGACCCCTCTGGCGCTTGAAGCTCTAATCAAGCTGATCAAGCTATCAGGCTGCATGATGCTGAGGTACTACACCTTGCACTATTATTTGGCCGATGATACTGTGGAAATGCTGGAAAATTTGCCGAGGACTGAAGCATGAGGTATGCCAAAGAGCCTTGCTCCCCGTATAGGTATCAATGTATGGGCATTTTTACATGTTGGTTGTGCACATGGCAAAATTGCCTGCCTTCGCAGGAATTCAGGGTGTGCTCCTTATCCTACATTCTGGAGACGCTCGCCACTTCGGAAGAATCCTTATATCTCGGCAACCCCAGGGATGCTTGAGCCAGCGGCGCTTATCTACAAGCCTGAGGACATGCCAACAACTGCAGACTTTGGTGCCATCAAAGCCGATGAAAGAGAAGAGATGCACACTCCTTATGCGATTTGTGTTGGGGCATTGTCAGTGCCACAGCAGCTTTGGTTTGAGGACCTCATTTGCGGACAGACGATTGATGTCATGGGGCGCCAGATCGTTCTCTATGACTGTGATGACTTCACTCGAGACTTCTACAGGTCCTTTATGGGACTTGAACAGGAACCTTTGATGCAGATCAGTGAGCCATGTCCTCTTTGTAAATCATGCGATGTCTCAATCTAGGGGTGCTTGCGAGCTGCGACTCCTGAGGTTGGAACCAAAATCCACCACCCACCGTTGACACACGCTTCTTGCCGGAAGGGTAGCTGGCTGTATGGCTTGCGGTTGTGTTGCTGTACTCATCCCTAGTGCTGGATGGTATGCATGTGGTGCGAATACCAATCTCACTGCCGAGGCAAAGCTCAGATTTCCCCCATACAATGGCTTTGGGTCTGAGGACTGAACTAACAAAGCAAGAAGGCAAGACGTATGAATGGAACACATCTTGAAGAATCATGTTAGATGTTAGATGCACCAACTGAGCCGTTGCCAGGAAGATTCTCTCTCCAGCTGCAGGGGTCTCATGCCGAAGCCTCCTCGAAGAGATGTTCAGAAGCTTCTGGTGGATGCAGACAAGGCCGCTTTGAATGACCAGACACTTTGCACAAATTGCAGTAAGAGGATGAGAAGGAAGATAGCTTCCTCAGCTCTTGAAGCAATGTGCAAATGCAAGTTGCAACTGCTTGTTCGAGGGCGCTTCAGACAAACATGTATATTTGTATATATATATATATATGTGTGTGTGTTATTTACTTTTTTGTTTTATTCAAGCTTCACTTGAGATCATTCATCCCATTGACTACTAAATATTTTCCAGGTGAGTTGAAGCCACCAACCAGCTGTCCATTTTGGTTTGAATCCAGTCCTGGCAACACTAGCAGGTCCTGCGCTTTGAGGGAGTCTTGGCCGATGACGTCGAGGAAAATGAGAACAGGAAGTTTGTCATTGCCATCTGCCTTGGCGATGATAGCGTTGGCGTGCCCCTCCCTGCGTGCACTTCACCGGGTTTTCTTGACCATGGAGGGCTGTACAGAGCAATACCAGAACATGTCCTGGGCAGTGTTAGCATTTGCCGAGCTGCCACGTGAAGGTATGGGAACTCAAGCAGCGGAACTCTGGTCATTCGGAAGGCTCCACAGCTGGATTTTGACAAGTTTTCTTTTCAATGTCACGATTCCTCGAGGCAAATTTGCCAGCAAGTCTCGCAAAAAGAATCCTGCTACAGGGACTTGGTTTCGGCACGGATCTCAGATCTCAGATCTAGAATAGCTATGCAAAAGGTGCTTACCAGATTGCCTTGTTCGACAGTAAGGCCAGCAGACTTCTTCATCGGTGCCTCATTACTGATCAATTCCAGCCCTTTCCGCTTGACAGGGGCTGACGAAAAGGCGCCCAGCCCGCATGTTCCGACCAGAAACGACCATGGCACTGGTGCACGTCGCAACACATTGGAGCCAGCTGATCCAGATAGACTAGGACCTAGGAATCTTGGTTGCCCTTGGCCTTTGCCCTTGGCCTTTGGTCTACGACATTTTGACGTACCAAGAGCAACACTAGTAGACCGCCCAAACTTGGCGCAACTTTGATCGACATTGGCTCTTCGACTAAGACAGGTTCACGCTGGCTGGCACTTCCAAGCATCCATCATCCCAACACGCATTCCGTGACACGCATTCCGTGCCACGCATCCTGCGTCCTTGCCTCTTGTGCAGGCTCTGTGCTACATGGAGGAGCACCCGGATCAGTTCCCAGTTGCGGATGCCCCTTGGCCAAAGGTGGCTGCAAGACTCTGATAGGACTAAGGTGCCGAAGTCCTGTGCTCAAAGCTAGCTGTTGTTAACACAACTGTCCTGTGCCAACTGTCCTCAACTGGCTGATGTTAAGGTGAATGCCGCAGTTCAAAAGACGCGCGCTATCAGTGGTTGGCTCCAGGAGCAGTCTGGGATCGTTGGCGGCCCCGTTCTCAGGACCATGGAGACGGTGATGGAATGATTACGGTTGTGATTCACCAAGTTCTGCCCACACACCGCCCAAGCTGCATAGCTA